CCATCTCGTAGGCGCAGGGGTGCCCCTTTCTTGCGGCAACCTGCACTGGCCACTTTGTCGCTAGGTTGCCATCTCGTAGGCGCAGGGGTGCGCCTGTTATGCGGCAACCCATAGTAGCTCGTTTATCATTTCTCTTGTCATCTCGAAGTTGCCGTGCACTCGATTGCACAACGACTATGTTGGATAAAATAAGACTTGAAAAACTAATTGCCACAGTGGGAACTATTTTCACTTCAAACTTACATTTTCCCACCCATGGCGCCGCTATACTAAAACCAGTATTTCTATAATTCAGTGATTGGCTGCTACCAGTGCATCAGTTTTTACAGTTTTCGGAACGCACATTAATCGTTGCGCGATCGTGGCGCTACTTCTATTGTGGCGACATCAATCTACGGTATATGGTATATCAGCGATGGTGTAGCGATCGCCTTAGAATTCTCGAAAATTTGTCGAAGTACTCGATGAACTTCGGGTAAGTTAATTCGTTAATTTTTACCGATATATCTGTAGTCGAACTCAGTGTTCGACGTTCTATTTAAATACCAAAGTCATGTTCATCGAAAATCTTTTACGGACATCGTACCGAATGACCTTTTTACGAGTATCGTAGAACTGAACCAACAAATTTTTTTTTTTATACATTTAGAATGAAATATCCACTGACAATTTCGGAATATCTTATATGAAATTCTCGTTTGGATAATCCTGATATCGTGCCGGTGAACGGTGTTCTCTTACAGAATTGCGATACGAGAATTCATATGCCGATTCGCATAAATTGACAGTTCATCGAACATGCAGTTAAAAAAATATCTTAATTCTTTCTAAATTTAGCGAATTACTTTCATTTTTAGTTTCGTATTATTTGTTTCTAGGTATTTAAAAATTTCCTTCGCTTCATACGAAGACTGTCCCACATAATAAATGACAGATGGATGAAGCTAAGCATTACAAATTCACTTCTACTTCCATTATATGATCAAATGATCCGGATAAGTATCGTTTGCACATGCCAAAATAGTTAGCGCAGCCAAGATGAACATCAATTCCGTAGGCATTGCCGATCTCTTTAACCTATTAGAATCCAACAAGCTCGGGGAAGTAGAAGAAATAAAGAAAGTATTCCACGAACTTTTTCTCTGTAGTAAGTAAAATTGTAAATTATGGATTTAAATTTTGTGTTTGTGCTCTCTAATGATTTTGAATGTTCTACAGCAAAAGACAATTGGTTGGTCAATGGCCTTTTCGACTATTATCTGTCTACAAATTCTTCGCGAGCCGTCGAAGTATTAGCCAGCGTTCGAGATCCGCATGACAAGCATCTATTAGATCGTTTATCCGAAGCTCTTTCCAAACCTGGAAGCAGCAGCCAAAGAATTCAAACTCTTACTTTACTAGGTCATATTGTTCGTCGCCAACCAACTTGGCTGTATAAACTTGCAGGTCATGCTTTATTTCGGGATTTGCTGAAGTTACTTAAGGTAAATCTAAATTTTCTAAAAATAAATAACATAGCTAAACGTATAGTTAAATAAATATAATGATATGACTTTAGATGGAAGCAGATACATTATCCCTCATGAGCGCTCTTCTTCTGTTGGTAATGCTATTACCAATGTTACCAGCTGCTTTAGGGCCGTACCTCTCAGAAATTTTTGACGTGTTCGGCCGATTGGCTTCATATTACCATCATCAGTCGTTGTCTTTGTTTGCTACTCCTATGCATTTTACTCTTACGACAGCAGGAACTATCGATAAAAATCATTTGTATTTATTACATCTACAAGTGAGTATCGATACTCGTTTAAAGGCACGAATAAACAATTAATGGTTCCCGATTTGTTATAGGTGGGACTGTACAGTTTATTCCACAGACTATATGCCATGTATCCTTGCAACTTCATCTCATATTTGAAACAACAATATATTCAGCGAGACCAACTGGCTACTTTTACTCATACAATTAGGCCAATGTTGGATTCAGTGCGTATGCATCCATTACTCGTTACTGCATCTAAAGATGCAGAGATTTCTGCCGCTAGGTATATCTTATATTACGAAAACTGTTGTTGCTTTATATAAAATCTTTTACGATACGTTTACTATACGTTCGATTATATATCAGGTGGAAAAAAATGGAACACCACGATGTTATGGCAGAATGTGGTCGGTTCACGTTAGACAAATGTCGGGAGGAAGTATTCAACGCTGTAAATTCACGCTCTACGCCGCCCTTAGGTAAATAAATTTTACTGGGACCAAACGTAGCTACGAATGTAATTATGCTAGATACATTTTCTAGATCACTCTTCTATGTATACCTCAATAAACGCTAGCGGAGGTGTAGCACCATTAGAAGCTACCAGCAATGGCGAAGATGATACATTTTGGTCTCCAAGTATGTCGGTGCCACCGCTTAGCCCTCCGTATCCAGCTACATCTCACGAACAACGTTCTGCTCCTTCAACGCCCAATAACAACAGAAGTGGCACATCTCCGCCAGAAGCTGCGGTTGAAGCCACACCCGAAACAACTCCTGTTAAAGTACGTTCGCGAAGAACAAGGCGTTGATCAGAATTACGAGGAACATCATTTCTCTCTATTTTATTACGTTGTAATCTTTATAAATTTGATATCGTTTTCAGAAGAATTGTCTTTCTTTTCGTTTCACATCGTTTCTGCTAATAATAAAAATTTATGAATTCGACACAGGATTTACGGAAATTATCAGCAAAACAAGTACCTGTGGGATCTGCCGCAGTACGTGCTCTTTCCGCGTTCGGTAACGGTACAGTGGGATCGAATTCACGACCGTCGACACCTGTTCCCTTAAATCCATCAGCGTCCGCGACAACCAGCTTTACAATTGGAAGCGGGGATGGAAGCAACGCGCATGGATTCCTTTCGCACAGGATAAGTAAAATCATAGCGGATAGGCAAGGCGTTAGCCAACCGAGGCCGTCCGGGAACGTTGACGAAAACGGGAGATTTTCAGAAGTGGATACTAATCAGAATGGAAAAAACGATTCTTGGCAGGAAGATCAAGAGGTTTTGTATTTTATCTAACTTTTCTATGTAAAAGCGTTGCATATTAATGAAAGTTGGTAGATATGTCTGCGTGTGTTGTGCAGGTTTTAGAAATTGTAAGCTCTCAAGCTGCTGGGAAACACGATTGCTCGAAATACGTTGAACGACACCAAAACAGCAATGAGAAAATGCAAAATGCTTTCGGGAGGGTTTATCAACTGCGTTTGTATTCTCAGTGTCAAGTCCCGGCACAATATTCGAATTCTAGTTCTATTTGCAAGGTAAAATGTTTCGGATAATATTTCACGTATGTGATTTGTTATTAAGGTCATGTATTTTTAATTGGAAAAAACTCAGTGTTTCAACGAACGAATGTTTGTTACACTTGTAGGTTCGGAAAAGTAAATCTTGCCCGGATATGGATATCCAGAACCAAGTTAACGTTGACAAAACAACGAATGAATTGAAAGAGATCGGGAGAAAACGATTGGAAGAGATTGGAACTCAAACGTCTGATAACCTCCCGTACGAATATCTGCTGCTGGGCATTTTAGATCAAAAAAATCAAATGAATGTACAGAAACGCGTTCAACAAGATGCTGAATACAGATTGTCGCCAACTGCGATGCTCGATCGATACGTCGAAGCTTGCACACGTACCAGTAGTAATGTTTCCGGTGACAAAATGAGTCAGTATAAAACTCAATTTAGTAATCACGTAATGTAGATTGATAAAAATTTTAACATAGCAATAACGATTCCTTTAAAGGGGCTAATCCAATCAAACAGAAGCACAGGAAAGAGAACGACAACGAAGACGAACCCGGGGAGGAAGATGGTTTAGACGCTGCATGTGCAAGCCAACTGTTACAACTCATGCAAATTCAATTGCAGTTCGAACGACAACGTAGAGAAGTTCACGCCGAACGTAATCGAAGACTTCTCGGTAAACTGAGGGATTCGCGCGCGTTAGAAGAGCATAATTATGCGTTGGTCAGTTGACATTATTTGCTCGAGATAAGATTCATCGAAATTTTTTTTTTAACTCTAGCTATCGCTAAACACGAAGTTCTTATCACAGACTGATCAATTGAAAATGATGGAAAAAGAAGTAGAAGCTTTGAAGGCTGAATTAGAACGTAACAAGAGAGAAGCTTGTCAAGCTGAACAACAATACAAAGAGGCATTGCATCATTGGCAAACTAAGGTAATCTAACCAAAGATTCTATTTGTATCAAATACCTAATGAAAATCCATGGATTTCCAACGGAATGCCCTTACAAAGATAAAAGAGTCTCGCGTTTATAGCCAATAAGCAATTGCTCAAAACTATATGTCGTATTAGAATAATCACGAGCATTATGATTATTGTTCGTTGGCTATAAACACGAGTCCGTTTATAAAATCCATACAGTAACGTGATTAAAAATGTACAGTGTGTAGAAGAAGAACGACAGAATCAGACGGTTAAGGATCTTCTTCAATCTGTCGAAGTCGAATTGAAGAACGAACAAAAGAAGTTGGTGGAATGTGAACAGCGACTTCGTTCCACGGACGCTTCCCTTTTCGATGCGGGGCATCGATTGAGGGTAGCGTTGAAAGCTGCGGATCGTAGTAAAGAATTAGAACGGACTCTCGATACCGTACAAAAGAAATTCCTTCTGCTCGGAGAGGTAGTATCTTCATAAATTATTTATTCTTTTATGCGACCTTTGGTGTATCGAATGTTGTTGTATGCATAGGCGCAAGCGAAACTGCAAGAAAGTACGGGTGGTCTTTCGCCGATGAGTAAACAAGAAGCAACGCAGATACAAAGATCGTACGCGGAAGAATTAACTAGTAAGTGCGTTTTAATTATTTACTAACGATATCAAAAGGTATAGTAGCTAATATCACTTATGACTCCTTTAACAAATAATCGCAATGGATACGATGATTTGTAATAAATCATGAATCGTTTGATGTTTTTAGATTTACGACGACAATTGGAGTCGCGAACATCTCTCGTAGAAGCTTTGAAAGTGCGTCTAGGCGAACTAGAAAATAAAGACGCTCGAAAGGAAGCGCAACTCGTAGAGTTGCAACGACTTTTACAGGAAACGAAAGATCAACACGAGTCCGAGTTAGAGGCCGTCGAGTCGAAATATAAAGCGCAAGTCGAAATCAATCTTCTTCTTGAAAGTCGTATACTCGAGCTTCATGGGACATTGGAACAGGCAACGAACAGTGCCACTGCTATGAATAATCTTGCTTCTTCGGCATCACCTAAAGAGAGATCACCTCCACTGTCGGCCAGTTTAGCTTCTTCCAGTGAAGGAAGCCTTGCCTTTATTCATTCAGGTACTGGAATTATGATGAATGACTGTTGTGATACCGCAGGCGAAATTTCTAATCTTCAAGTCATCGTCGAGCCTGTCCCAGTTCAGGCGACTTCACCGTCTCACCATAGTCAACTGAAACGAAATCCTAAACAAGACTAACGCTACGCAAAAACGGCCATCGAGTCTTTTCGCATGCAGCAATTCTGTTTTGCACGCGAGCAACTGTTATCCAGTGCCGTGGTATTAAATCAGAAGAAAGTTATTTGTAGCTTTTTATCGACATATTATGCGGAATTCATAAAAATATTATTATCGCGTGATTTCGATAAATAATTGAAAATACACTGGTAATTAATCAAATTACTAGCGTGATATGATTTCACTCTTGAAAAATGAATTCACAATGAATAAATGGTTGAGATATTTTGTGAGCAATTTTCTAAGTCTCGGCTGAACACATCCTCTAACAACTATCCTTCGCTGTCCTTCTATATGTTCCTCTATGTAGATAAAGAACCGCGAAACTTAATTAAAAACGTTCAAAGTTGGCTCAAGTTCGCCCTGTTGACGGAATCGGGAGTAAAACAATTATTTCTTATTGTAGAAAAGTGAATATATATTATCGATTATAATAATAAAATTTTGCTATTAGTACATAATACTGAACAATATTTTGTTTACACAGCGACGTTGTATAAAATGACATAAAATTAATTGCGAATGCATGAAAAGTTCAAGTACCAATAATTGTTACCACGTTCTATTAGAACAGCCATTGCTAAGTAAACAATATATAAGTGTATCAAATTTCTAAATAAAATTTTATGTTTATCTTTAATAGGTTTGCAATTCGCGACTCATTGTCATAAGAATTGCGTCGTCTAGATTAGCGTAATTTGTCAAATCTGGAATAGATTAACCAATGATAAAACGATATTTCGTTGATCAAAGGTTTCGTTAAGTACCAAAAATTATTTTCTTCGAGGTTATTCATGCATTTACGTAAACCTTACTCACGATTGTGGCCCATGTGAATTGGAGACGCTTTAACTTTTCGGAGTAATAATTCGATAAGCCAAAAGCATGTCAACCATACCAATGCCCCTATTGAAAATACTCTGAATGTGGTAACACCACCGTATATGCTGATTAACCATCCACATATTAAGCTGCCACTTGATGTACCTGAAATAAATTAGCGATAGTAAGAGTTTGTTCTTTTACATGTAAGAAATTCAATTTTTTGTTTCTAACCAATTCCTTCAAATATAGCACCAATAAATCCTTGTATAGTGGCTTTTGTATTAGGTGGCGTTACTTTGTCACCGTACGAAACCATAGTGGGCCAACAGAGACCAAATGATGGCCCATGAAGTATCTCGATAATTAAAAACCACCATAGGTTTGACACTGTACTGTATGCCATGAATCTATAAGGAAGTGTTATTACAAAATGTGCAATCCAACTTTTTATTATGGTAGTAGCGTATAAGTTACCTAATTGCATAAATCAATAAAACCAAGCTCATAACGTTCACGTGGCCTAGTTTTCGTAATACAGTTCCTGAGATAAAATTAAAGGGTAGTTCTCCTAAAAAACATTGTATACCAGTCAACAGCCCTTGCAAGGTTTTAAGCCATGCTAGTTGAGAACTAGTTGCTAAGTCTTCGGTGTACCAAAATAGAAAATTCCATACTACTCCAGTACACATTCCAGCTCCTATACACCACCATACAAAGGTCAACATATTAGCCTGCTTACAGACCGTAAATAGTTCCCACACTATCGATGGCTCATCCTCTAAGGATTCTGCGTTTTTCTGTAACAATACTGTTTTTCCCCATTATCTGGCAATTTTGTATTCTTTCGATAAACAAAGGTATCAGACTTCTGTACCACGTAAATTTATATTCAATTGTACCAGGGTTTATATAAAAAAAAAATGTACCTTCTTTATAGTTGTTGATACTATAATATCGAATATCATAGTGATCAACATAATATAAAATATACAGGTATAATCTTTCTGCTGTTGTCCTTCGCTAAAAAAATCTACCAAGTATCCCGCGGCTATTCCAAAAATACCAAAGCCAATGCTGCCCCACATTTTCTGTTTCCCGTAATCCTTTCTCCTTTCGTTACCTGTAATAAGTAAATGTAAGAATAGTATAAAATTTGTAGCCATCAACACAGTACTGACCAAGGAGATTGAAACATATAGCATCCGCTATACTGACTACAACTGCCATTCCAATCCAACTTATTATAGTTGCAGACAGAAACGATTGGTACTGATACATCGAACTTTGCATGGTGTTGGTCTGAGAATCTTTGACCTCTTTTAACAACCGATTAAAAGTTGGATTTTTCTTGCATGTGGCTGTACAGGTTGTCTTAACGTAGTTTTTACAAGCTGGCTTATGTGCAACATTATCCAAGAATGTAGCCGTAAGAATTTTGATGTATATGCACTTGCTCAACTGTAAAATAAAATTATTAATATTTCTTTGTTATACTTAATATATAAATGTAACGAATTAATATATCTTACATAGGAATCATGGAACACATCGAATCCTAAAGTAAAGTCAAATGTTTCTGAATTCGCAATATGACTTGAATTTGCTGCTTTACAAAATTTAGATGCTTTCCAATTTAAACACATTTCTGTGTAAATTTCTTTTGTAGCCTTACAGGATACCTAAAAAAAAAAGTAATAAATTAGAGATATAAAATACTTTGTTCTACAAGCTTAATGTAGACATCATACCTGACATGATTCATTTAAATGCATGGTCTCTGTTATTACATCTTTTAAAACACTGTTAGAAAATTCCTTTTTTGAACACATTTCTAAAGATGCGTCGCCATTGCAAATAAGAGTAACGTTCGCAGTACTATCTATTTTAGGTATAAAATTTATCATGAACATAGATATAGCAACTATTACTTGAAATATTAGAAACAATATTTTATGAATTTTGAGTTTATCTGCCAAACCACCGAACAAGGGTTTCGCTATTAAACCCGAAATTGGTAGTATCGTGTATATAGTTCCGACTAAAAACCCAGAGAAACCTAATTGTTTAGCTATCGTTGGTAGAAATGGCACTATTGGTCCAGTAGCTGAAAGACAGAAAATTCGAATTCATAACATTTCCTTACATAACTTCGAATTTAACATATTTTACTCACCAGCATTGAATAGAAAATAGTGCGCTTTTATTGGTAGCAGTTCTCTATTTATGATTTCGAACATTTTATACATTCGTATGGTACACGGTAGGTTAAACTCGTAAAACGTTATCTGTGGATGAAATACATCTATAAATCATTGTTTTGATAATCGCGTATCATTTACACGTGATCCATAAATCGATATTTTTTCAAAGTTGATTTCTCCTCTTATTAAATAATTCTAATTGTTGCGTGCATGCAAGAAAACGAACGACATTTAAGGACATATATGTGTAAAAATAATTTTTTTTCGCAATAATACGTACACCGACGGTAAAATTATAAACTCTGTAATATGTTCTTGATAAACATGTTTCACGAGTACTTGACGGTCTTCCACGACACGTGCACTTTGCTCAGTAGCACTTTACCACAGTCTGCTATTATAATTATAGACTCTGGTTGCTGAATCTACAATTTTCGTCATCTACACTACGAAACTCGGGAAGGAGGCGGTACTCGTAGTTATCATATTCGCATTCCAACCGCGCTATTATGTTTCACTCTCTTCTATGCATTCGCGTAGAGGTTAAATTTTGTGTCGTTACTATAAACTCGTCACGTTTCCATTTAATATTACGCTACGCATCTTATGGACTCTTAATTGCAAATAATTTCTTGTACATCACTATAAAACGAGCACTTGCGTACTGATTACACATGCTTTCGTTATCACGTTTCCATCAATGTGCGATGGACGTGAACTTTTTACAACGAAAGTTGGTTGGAGAATGTGGGAGAATGTCTCCGCGGACAATTAAATCGATCAGTTCACAAATTTACATTTGTTAATATAGCCAATAAAAGAATACGACGCCTCGTGTGATTACGTAACTACTATTTCGTACTCTTTCGAAAGACATTTAGTTTCGGTGTACGAAAAATGTTACTTAGTTTTATACAGGGTGTCCCAAAAATGTTGTGACATCTTGAAAGGGGCGGTTCAGGGGGTGATTTGAAACAACTTTTTCCTTAGCTTCGTTGAGGAGATATTAACGGAAAACACTGACCAATCAGAGCGCGAATATGCCGATGGAGCGGTCACGGTAGCCTATGAGCGTGGCCGCCTAGCGCGTAGCTTCGCTCCCACGACCGCTCCATCGGCATACTCGCGCTCTGATTGGTCAGTGTTTTCCGTTAATATCTCCTCAACGAAGCCTCGGACAACATTTTCGCTAAGGAAAAAGTTGTTTTAAATCACCCCCTGAACCGCCCCTTTCAAGGTGTTATAACATTTTTGGGACACCCCGTATTTATAATTACTTCGATAAATAATCGTGTCTTCGCGAGACCATTCAAGAACGAAGTTTCTTGAAATCGTCAATTACCATTACTTACTAAAATATTTCATTCGAACGGCAGTGCGAAAACGATTTTGTAACAAACTGTGCTTTAATCTGTCATCGATACATTTACAATATACATTTACAATATATATGTATATATTTATAAGTTTTAATATACCGCTTCCATCTGTTTCTTTTAGCAATAAGGTGGGTTAATGTATGATTGCGGCGTATTATACTTTATTTCTTCGTTTTCATACAAGAGTCATACACCCATACACCCGGTCATCCACGCAACCAGTCATACACAGGCATATACATACACATATCGGGCTCGCGTATCAACTTGTTCCGCGCACACGCACACGCACGCATCTATAGTTCCCTACGTTATCCCATTTTTTAATCTACCGCGGACGATTCTACAATGTCTTCGACTTTGCAGATCATTTTTTTACATCGAGCACATCGTCTATGAAGGAGATATGTATTTTATATACAAAGAAACGGAAAAACTAGCTTACGAACTATAGAAATCTATATACTCTAAGATACACCAGCAACAGTGCGCTCAATATTATACAGAATTCCTTTGAATTTAAAAATCACGTATAACCTCTACGTTTCGTCTAGCTGTTCCTTCTTTTTATCGTTTTGCTCGAACATAAAAAAAAAATAAAAATAAAAAAAAAATAATTATGTGGGTAAAGGACATATTCACGACAGGCTAAAAATTACGAGCACTGTCACGGAGCGGATTTGTAATATAATGTTCTTCTCGCTAAAAAATCGAATATTGCATAATTCCACATCCCGATACATCGACAGGGATTGAAAGAGGGGGGAGGGGGAGGCGGGGGGGGGGGGATAGATAGAGACGGTGTAAGAGCGTTGGTAGACAGAGGAACTTTTGATAGAAGATGACTTCCGGTCACTAGCGACTGAACTTAAACGTCTAAGTCGTCGACTAGTCATTAGAAAAAACTATCAAAAATTCCTACGCGAAGTAGGCTTATCCTTTATGTACATATCACTACATAGTAGATTACCGAATAAAAGCTAAATATTTCTTATTTTCAGTTCCTTTCTTTTTCCTCTGATAAATCGTGTAAAAATGTCCAAGATTTTTCGTATCGTCTCGATAAAAAAAAAAAAAAAAAAAAAAAAGAAATAATGTACAAGAAAACAAATGTGAAGTAGGGGGAGGGGGTAAAGACAATCGCGGTGTAACGGCCGGGTACCCTAATTCCAGAGAGCTTTAAAAATCTGTTGTTCGCTGGTCAATCAGTAAAAAAACATTTCGAGAAAAACGAAAGAACAAGAATCAAGTTTTACGCGTTTCTTTTACTGTTTGACCCTCACGAGTTCACGGTGCTATTTTCAAATGGATGATCTCGAGGAATATTGTAATCAGAATTTTCCTCTCGCGTTTTTGTTTTTGCTAAATCGGTACCGAGGTTTCTCTTCGATTAATTCAGAAATTTCAGGACGGAAGCGAAATAAGAAAAAAATATTTGTGAAACGATCACATATCGACGAATAAAATAAATAATTACGCTAAAAACCGAAAGAAATGTTTCAGTTGCTAATATTAAAGGCAGAAAGGTCAACGATCCAGGAAGAAGAAACATCCGTACCGATGTTTTTACGAGAACGAAAATTCTGATTATGATTGCAGAGAAGCACGATTAGATGAAACAGTGTTTACAATCGGGGAACAGCGCCATCTAACGGCGTTCGAGCGAAACTTTGTATGTATCTGCTGTCATTGCCGATCATCGGTAACCGACACAGACTACACGCAAGTGAAACATCTCTATACTGTGTTATCTATTAAACTGCAACTATGATTGACAACAGGAGAAAGGTACAAAGTATCAAATGCACTCACAAGCACTGGTAAACACAGTTTTATCTAAATTAATCCCGGACTTTAGTTGCAAAGGCTATTCCAGAACAAATGTCAGACAAATAACAGACGTGATCTAAGCTTGAAAATTAAGGAAAATGTTCCCCCTATTAATGTTTATCAGTCTCACCAATTAATTGAAAATTAAAAATGCTCTCACGAAGAAACGATATAAAATATTACAGTTTCTATTTTGCATTTGCTTACTCTATCTTGCTCGCTTTCGGTCTATCCTTCACTCTTTTCGTCTTGGATTCAGTTAAAAAAAAGAAAAAAAAAAAAGAAACAAGTTCCTACCATACTCGTTAAAAGTCTCCAAGACAACCCGATTCTGTGACTTTTATCGAGGACTTACCCAGCGTGTCTGTTATATCTCTCACATTTGTTCCAGAACGCTCTGCACAATCCACGTGTTCCGAATAAGGAGAATGAGCCGCGACGAAGTTGGAACCAGACCTGGGCAAATTTGTTCCTTAAATAAAAACGAGAAATAACTTTTCGAAATCGTATTTCAGTCTTCTATTTCCCGTAACGTTATTTGGAAATAACCGAGACATCGATTTACTTGTGATAACAGATACTTAACTATTAAATATCATTGAACACGTCGGTTATTTCCAAAAGTATTTCGATATTTCGTTATCTCACAGAATTACTACTTTCAAAGTTATTTCACAAAGTATCTCAAAAATGTAATACAGTAATTCCTCGCTTAATGCTAAAAATTCTTCTAGAAAAATCTGACTACGTTTGTATAAGATGTATACTAATATCTGGGACACGCGTCAGAGATAGATTAGGAACATGCGAATAATGAAAAGAATGTCATAGTAACATATGCCCTATTTGTCCTTGTTCCTGAGTTATAGCTTATTTTTGTACAACAGGAATGTTAATTAGAATCAGTTGCACAGTAGTGCCAGACTAAACGAGATAAATTGTGACTGAAGAATATCAATTAGCTGGGAATAAAATTATTTTCCAAAACTCGACTTTTCGTATCTCAAATATACGGAATATAACAATTTGTAGTACGTATTAGCGATTACCACGTTGACGCGCATGCGGCGAGCTTTGGAGCACAACTGATTGGGTTTTATTCTCACAGTTGCCAATCCACAATTGCTCGATGCGAAGAAATATAGTTTCTCGTTTATCCAGGAATGAAATTCTCTCAATTAACCGAGCATTACTGTACCACTCGTCAAGAATTGCCGGAGTACAAAAATCGCTGTACCTTGGGAACAAAATTCAAACAGAGCACATATTTGCACGAACTTCCTCCCATCGTTCCTGTGTCCCCAATCCACCGCTGGAGTCTCGCACCTTCCGACATACCACGGGCTCAACTTCGAGTTGGTTCAACTTCGACGCCTACAAACTCACAACAATAACAGGTGAATAAGAATAGGTGAAACAGTATCTCGAATAACGTTACATGAAAATCGTCCAGGTCTGGTTGGAGCAATGAAGTCAACATACCATCTGGGTCGGCGAACGTCCGTCAATTTCTATCCCTGGTTTAAAACGCTATTTCGTCCATCTAGCGGAAGGACGGTGTGTATCCGGCCCGAAATGTCGTCGTACAAAACGCTTAAGACGCCCTTTACAAAGATTTTAACGGCTAAAGCCAGGACGGTCGATGATGATGCGGCGGCGGTTGAAGAGCGTAGAGGGAATGAATGTACTGTTGGTACGCGGTTGGGTCCATCGTTAGGTTCGGTCCATGAGGCGTGACGTACGCGGACACTGGCGGACCGTACGCCGCCGATCTCTGAGCGGAATGAAGAAAAGGATGAGGCGGATAGTTTCTCGGCGGTTGGTTGCTGAGCTTGTTGCAGGCTTGCTGAGCTGCGTCCGTCACAGGCGGGTGTTGGGGCTGCTGTTGCTGCTGTTGCTGCCTCAGGGCCATGCTGTAGTATCGGTTTGGATTTCGAAACTCGTCCAAGAACGCGAACGCCGCAGCTGTCGCGTCCTTGTCGTAGAAGGCTGAGCTGGTGGTGGTACTGGTCGACGCGGCGAAATTGAAGGCACTTCCAGCTGGTGGGACCATGCCGGTGTTCTTCAGACTGATCGAGTCCGCGGATGTCCCTGTATACTGCGAGAAGCCAGGTATACCGGTCGATTGGGTATCGGTGCTGACCGCGGACGAAACGTTCGCGACGTTCTGCTGCTCCTGTTGCTGCTGCTGTTTGCTCTTCCTGCTCTTCCTCGTCTTCGTCGGTGCGGCCGTGGAACCAGTGGCCAAGGTGTCCCCGCCTCTGCGAGACATGGACAGTATACCCTGCGTGTTCTTGGCCGCTGTTTGCAAGCTCTGTAGAATATTGAGGTCCAGCTCGGCGGCACCTGGCGCTGGACTCCTCGAGTACGCTAAATGTTCGGACTTGGTCGCGGGCGGTCGAGGGATGGTCAACAGCTGCTGTTGCTCTTTGCTCGCGCGACCCACCAGACCCAGACCCAAACGAGCGTAAGCGTTATTCGTGGCCACGGGATCGGTCAAGTTCCCAACGAACGCGGCGTCGAATTGACTGGCTGAAACAGCGTCGGGTTGAGGCAAGCCCATTATCGGATCAAAACTGAACTGCTCCTGACCTGTTCTACCTGTAGGCTCTTGGTTTATGGTACGAGTCGTCTCGTTGGGCGACTCGTTGTATATGCGTTTCTTAACGGGAGGCAGGTTACTGGCTGAACTGTTAGCAGCTCCACCAGTGGCGGTCTTCGAGCCGGCGTCAAAGTAATGCGGGCTGGGATACACGGGTCTGGAATTCGGCATAGAGTACCCGGACGCTTGAAAACCGCTCGGATAGAGCTGCTCGTGGGCCGTCAGATTCTGCTGGAACGCTAGTATCTGCGACTGGTCCTGCGTCGACAGCTGCTCGCCGGCGGCGGACGTCTTCCCGAGGAACGAACGCTGCTGAACGTACTTCTGCGCGTTCAGGGACTCCGTCAGCTCCGCGAAGCTGGAACGTTGCTCCTGGGTCTGTTGCTGCTGTTGCGGTTGTTCCTGGCGCGAGACGGACCTCTGTAGGTCGATGTTGGGGTAATTGTTCCCGAACGCTGAATACTGATTAGTGGATTGATAGATCTGATGGTTGGCGTTCAGGTTCAACGACGCCTCCGTTCCCACGGCGAAGTTTCGTTGCTGGTCCCCGGTCGGGGTCTTCTCGGCGGTGCTGGCGGCGGACTTGAGATACTCCGTTCGATGCTCTGCCTCGCTGATGGACGGGGTTGGCGATTGGATGTAGGAATTCTGCTTGAATCCTTGGGTGTAGTTCGCGGCAGCCGGCGAGGCTGTGGCCGTGCTCTGTGACAAATCCTCCGTGCCTTTAGACGGCTGCGGTTGCGGCGTGTAGTTTGTACTCTGTTGCGGGGATGGCTGCGAGTAGCTCGAGGACTGTTGCGATGCTTGCGAGGTGCAGACGGATTTCTGTTGAGGCGACGATTGAGAGAAGCTGCGAGATTGTTGAGGCGACGGGGACGGCTGTGACAAGCTGCGAGACTGTTGAGGCGACGGTGACGGTTGAGAAAAGTTGCGGGACTGTTGAGGCGTGGGAGACGGTTGGGAATAGTTGCTGGGTGGTGCTTGTTGAGGGGAGAGCTGAGAGTAATTCTGAGGGGTTTGAGGCGAGTGGATCGAGTGGGAATAATTGACGGACTGCTGAGGGGATGGTTGAGAGTAATTGACTGGCGGCTGCGGCGACGGTTGGGAATAGGACGCGTTCTGAGGCGAGGGTTGAGAGAACGTGGCGGGTGGCTGAGGGGAATGCTGGGGAAAGGGCTGAATCTGTTGCTGGGGCGACGGTTGAGAGTAATTCCGTGGTTGAGGCGACGGCTGCGAGTACACGGTGAGAGGTTGAGGCGACGGCTGCGAGTAGTTGGCGGAATGGGTCTGCGGAGATGGATGGGAGTAGTTCGATGGTTGAGATTGTTGCGGAAATACGGCCGGGGCCTGTGGGGATGGCTGAGAGTAGGTTGCTGGCGGTTGCGGGGATAGCTGAGAGTAACTGGACGATTGCTGCGGCGACTGGGCGTAAGGAGAGTGTTGCTGTTGGGGAGACGGCTGGGAATAGGTGGGCGGTGGCTGAGGGGACGGCTGAGAGTACGGGGAATGTGGTTGCTGAGGCGACGCTTGAGAGTAACTAGAGGCTTGAGGAGAAGGCTGGGAGTAATTGGTTGCGTTTTGTTGCGGAGAGAGTTGTGAGTATTTCGGGGTAGGAGGTTGCTGTGGCGACGGTTGCGAGTAATTCGAGGGTGGCGGCTGCGGGGAAGGCTGAGGAAACACCTGCTGGATCGGTTGCGGAGAGTGTTGCGAATAGACCGGAGACGGATTCTGAATAGCGGCGGGTTGCAATTGTTGATTGAAGGTCTCTGGCGGAGTCGAATTCGGAGGAAAGCTGGCCTGAGGGGAACGCTGCGGGAACGTGGGCGATAATTGGTGATACACTTCACCGGAACTCTCCTGCGGGGACTTCTGAAACGTTGTATGGGGTTGCTGAGCCGGTATTTGGGAAAAGAGAGGCGCTTGTTCGTAAGAGGACGACGGATAGGCCGGAGACAGCGGATGATTTTGCGGAGACGGAGTGGGCGGCAATTGGGCACTGTATCTAGGAGGTGTGGCGTAATAAGGACTGTTGTAAGGACTACTTCCCGTCGACAGGGCGTCCTGATAGAATCCGGCTCCTCTAATTTGCGGCTCGACCGAGGCCATCACGGGCTGTCCCTGTGGAGATCGACCTGCCCGTCCAGGTGGCGATTCTTGAGAGAAACTGGAAACGGATTCGCTCACGCTGCTACCGCCGGTGCTCATTCTTCTCTGTCTGCCGCAGAACACCTCTGGCAATTCGCCGTCTTTCTTAGCCGCGCCGTCCTCCGATTCCTCGTCCTTCTTCTTCGATTTCGGTGCCCCGAACGCTTTGAACCAGGCGCTCAAGTTCGGCGTCGCAGCTTTAGGCTTCTGAGTCTCTTTTACGCTGGATTGGCTGTCTTTAGATTCCTCTGCCACCGTTTGCGTCTGCGTCGTCGGTTTTCCGGTCGACGATTTCTCTTCTTTCAAGCTAGGCACAGGGGCCACGGGGAGAGCGTTGTGGTCCTCTTCCTCGTCGTCGTTCGAAAAATTCGGATTCGGCGAGGAGACTAAGCTCTTGCAAATCAACTGAATGGAGTCTACGTTCTTTAACACAGTTCCTAAACTAAGTTTTGGTTCCTCGTCGGCGTTCTTGTTCGCCTGATCGGTGTCGCTCGCCGACTGGTTAACAGCTGTCTCGTTAGCGTTAACGCTCGGTAAGTTGAGCGGTTTTTTCAAAAGCAAGTTCCCCTTGCTTTTACCAGGCTGCAAACGATCGATCGTACGTTGTATCTTTTTTGGTCTGGTGGGTCCGTGAGGGCCAAAGATTTTAATAGAACTTGGTCGTTTTCTCGGTGCTTCTACCTTTGGTCCCGACCGACCAGACTCAACGGAAGAATGAAATATCGGAGAATCGCTCCCGGAAGAAAATTCGGAAAGCTTTGGTGCGTCATCTAGCCATTTGTTGATGTCCTATTCGAAGATAAAAAAAAGAAAGGAAAAAAGCATTGAATACGTATTCAACATGTAATATAAAATATCAAAAATAAACTAATTTCTAAACCTTCATAAGAAGTACCAAGTGTTCATCGTTTGGAGAAATTTAACTATTAGCTTTAGTACAAGAGTATTACTTTTTACTGGCAAAGATATAAATGTGAAATATTCTTACATGGAGTGTTTGCTCCGTCGCTTGATTCAATGCTTGTATCGAGCTTTCCTCCTTCCCAAATCCTTTGGTATGCTTGGTCGAAGCCACTTTTACTTTCTTTGTTTCAGTTGGTTCTTGGTCTTGGGTTTTCACCGCATCCTCCGTGGTAGGAACTTTATCTTCTTTCATTCCCTTTTTTAACTTTGGTCGTCTTGCGCTGGCTTTATCGCTGTCGTGAAAGGTACTACCGTTTGAAGGCACTTTTTTTGAATACACATTGTGAAGATCGCTTTTCGCCGGTTTCTTCTGTTTCTCTTTTTCATTCTTCAGCTTCTCCTCCCGTCGCCTTTCGCTAATCTTATCCTTTAAACCGTCCAAGGATTCTATATCCTTGTCACCTATAAAAGCGGCAATTTTCTTAGACGTATGAGTTTTCTTCGAATCTAAATCGCTTTCTAGATCTAAGTCTTTGGAATCTATTTCGCTCGATATCTCCCCGTTTTTCAGTTCGTCGTTTTTCTGTTTTGATTTTTTCTCTTTGTCCTTCGCTCGACTTTTCTCGTACTTCTCGTCAGGCTTCGAAACCTTCAAGGCCCCCTTCTCCTTTTTCCGACTCTTCTTAACTTTGATATGCTGAGTTTTCTCCGTGTCATCCGGCTCCGCCTCGTCCTCCTGAGATTCGACCTTTTTCGCTTTACTTTTCTTGGCGTTATTCGTAAGTATCTCGGTCTCCTCGAGCTCTTTCTTCTCGATCTTTCTACTTTTACTTTTCGCGATGACTAGGGGCTCGTAATCCTCCTCGAAGTCCTCTTTCCGCTTTTTGTTCTCTTTTGATTCTTTTATCGGCCGCACGTTATCCGCTTCCTTCTTCTGATGACGTTCCTTACTAATCTTCTTGTTCATCTTCTTCAACTCCTCCGATTCTTTGGATGACAGCTTTTTGGTTTTCAACAATAAATTGTTCGCGTCGATATGCTTCCTTCTCTTCGAAGTCACGATACTCGACTCGGACACGGCGTCCTCGCTCTCTTGCTCTTCCTGTTCTTCTTCGTTCACCGATTCTTCGTCCTTCGCTCGTTTACTCTTTTTCTTCACCCTCTTCTTCTTCGGAAGTTTATAATTCTTCCCCCGTTTCTCCTCTTCTTCGTTCTTATCGTTCACTTTGGACTTTCCTTTGCTCTCGGATTTGTACGATTTCGATTTTTTCGTAGACTTTTTCGAACGTTTACGATTCTGGTGCGGGGACGAAACTCGAGAAGGACACGACGGAGACGCGGGCGTGGCGATGAACGGTTTCGGCGACGAAGCATCCTCGTCGCTGGATGTTTCCGATTCCAAATAGCGATTCACAGCTTTGTCGAATGCATCTTTAAGATTCACTGCCATTTCTGTGTACTCTACCAGAAAATACAATAATATCTGAATTAGAGATCTATACCAGTATCGCGTAACAACGCGTTGTTTTACATAAAGTATACTAACCATTGTCGGAACCATTGTATTGCCTACAATTATCCACTATAAGAGCAAAATCACGTTTAAAATCGTTTAAATTCTTGTATAAACCACCGTCGAGTTTCTCCTCCATCGTACTAAGATCCATAGGTTTCCGTACCACGCTATAGTATCTATATTAAAGAATAGAAATTTAGTGCTTTGTACAAATTTAACGAAAAATATTAAGTACAACATGATCATAAAATTATACCTTGGTGCATATTCTTCGTCCACAGGATCAATGAATGGCCAGGCATCCACGTGATCCTTGAGACTTTCGAGAACCTTATGCATCCCAACGCGACGCTCTTCTTCCTCGATTCCAAACGAATATCCGAATTTATATCCATAATTAGAAGCAACGTAATTCCCGTCACTGTTACTTCCGACGCCTTTCTTTTTCTCTAATCCTTCCACTTCGTCCCTGGTGTGAATCACGATCTGGCCAACGGCAGAAGCCAACGAATTGTTAGTCTGCCGTCCTTTCTTTTGAACGGGCGGCAAAGATAAGGGCGGAGGTGTTTCCTCTTTAACGTAAACATTCTTCGAGTTCTGAGTCCCCTTTTTGCTCCCTTTGTTTGTTTTAGTTTTGATCTTCGATCTAACCATGACTGTTTCCATCTGTGTCGCGGGCTCGTGACTTCGAAGAACACGGGAACTGTTACGTTGCAACAACTTGCGCCGTTGTTGCTTCTCCTTCAAATCAAAAAGCTTCGGTATTTCCGGCATGAAATCCTCGGATAGAGTACGGTAGAGTTTACGTTCGGTATCGTACTCCTAAGTGGTACAACAACAGTATTAGAAGTGTCTTAAGATAAAGATATTAACGCTCGTTCAATGAGACAATTACCGAATCGCGAAATTTCTCAACTAAACGACTCCAGTCCTGCTGAGTGAAGCAGACAACTTGCCAAACACTTTCTTTCCCTTCCTCTTGTATTAAACCGTCTTCCTTCTTCTCCTCCTCTTCCTCTTCCTCCTTAGCCACTCTGCTTCGTCGTCTTTTGCGCTTTTTATCCCTAGGTTTACTTTTCTGTTTATGTGAGATGCTGTCAGAAGTATCGACGTAGTCCTCCCTATATAATCGAGTGCCGTAGAAGTACCAATAGGCAGAATTCTTACGATCATGTCCTAAAGGTTCGACTCGCAGACTATCCGAGTCCAAATTACTTAATGATTGCTCCTAGTATCGAAAATATAAAAAGAAAGCGTTGGTATATAAAAGTCCACAAATTAACTCTATGTATTAGTAACGTTTCTTAAACACGTACCACGTCTTCAGCGTCAAGCCTAAAGTCGCAGAGAGCTCTTAATATTTCTACTTTCTGCCGAAGAGGTAACAACTCGAAATCTACATCTGTATTAAAAGGATTCTCGCATTTGTATTCCTGAAAATAGAATAACACGGCGGTTAGTCTTAATAGCGACGCATGGACACATTTGAAATGTTACAAAGTGTAGCAAACAATTACTTTACCTGACATTTCTTACGAAACAGTCTACGGAGAAACATCTGATAATTAAAAGTGGAGATGTCATTGCGAGTGTCGTTGGGTAAACAACCTTCGAGTAACCTGACTATCAGCTCCTGTACTAAACGTCCCTCCGTTCCTCCATCCGTTAACAATGCTTCTTCTAAGTCCTAAAATAATACACAATGAATATGTATACACAACTAGAAAAGCAGACAATGCAGCAACAAAAGAATAATGCGTAAGCCTTTGATAACATAATTAAGCCGAAGCATGATCTATTTAATTTCCTGGAAGCTGAAGCGGTACTAACAAGTCTCATATGCGATGCCTACTCGTACGAGTCAGCATTTAGGTAAGTACCTCAATATCAAAGTCCAGAAGATTGAAGGCAGCCCTAAATAATGAGCAGAAGTGTGCTATACTTGGCACCTCCCACCACGATTGAATGTCTAAAAAAATAAAGGAACAATTGAGAGTTCCTTCAAGTTATGATTTTCTTTAAGCTCTGGAATGTCTCTTTTCGCATGTAGTAAGACTGGTGGAGGAATGGCATAGACTTGGAAACTTTCAGAAGTACATATGCAACTGCGTATGTAAATAATCAATATATTGTAGATGTTTAAGGTTTTAGTTTATGAAGAATTGGTAAGTAACTTTGACTTAGGTATCTAAGAAAACAGAATGCAGTTACAGCTCCAAGTTCGTTACCCCTAGAAAAGTCAAGGGGAGGGTAGCTTGTCAAGTCTACCAGTCAGAAAATCTTAAAGGTATGCTAATTTTGCTCATCAAATACTTCCAAACAGTTATTTATCAGTTTTAAGATTGAATGAAAATTCTAATAAGCAAAAAAATAAAATAAAAAGCAACAGGATAGAATGATTGTGTAAACAGAACTCTTGAACTTTCTGAACTACATGTTGTTCGACATGCAATACTTATTTTTGTTCGATAATATAAATAAATTTAAAAAATGAAATTTTAATGAATGTGTTTAGAAAAGTAACAACTCTTTATTAATCATGAGAACAAAACAGGGAGCAATGTAATAAGTTGTTACTTTAAACATATTCACTAAGGTTACATATATCTTGTCGAAATGAAACAATAAAACAGAGGTAGTGTAATGTAACGTTCATTTCTTGTGAACTGATTTTTTGTTGCATGGCAAAACTTTTGTAACTTAATCTGTAATCTATATTGTAATATGCTTGTACTAGTTTATGATTATGTATTAGTTTTTCCAGGTTTAAGATTAAATATTTAGTGCTCATTTTATTGTACTTAAGTTAAGTTTAAGTTTGAATAATTGTTTACATAATTTCGATACAATGGATAAAATTGATAAAAAAGAATTAATTTAAAGGAAAAATGTTTTGTATAATTCTACATTTTAGAAATTATTGATTAAATGAGATTAAATATTATGTGTGCAATTTATATTATTTCATATCAATTCCCTTTGCAAACTGTTACCATAGAGAAGGAAGTATACCATTCGATGAATCATCGTTATTCTTTTATACTTTATGATGATATCTACAATTAGGTGTTCATAAAGATAAAAGAATTTGCTAATTAAAAAGACGAACACAAGTTGAAAGACATTCTGGTATGGTAAGTTTGAGACTAAACATCAAGGCTCACATTTTACCAAAAATATCAAGGTGTTCAATGACTTTACCATTGTAACCAAACTCGAATAACAGTACATGAAAATACACGGTAGTTAATCGAATCAATAATTTCTCAATGACTTTAATGTTTACTCAATGATGCTAATCACTGCTTTCCAAGTTTCAATCAAAACAATTCCACGACCATTGTGATACCACTACCAAATGACAAAGCTCTGTCAAACAACAAAACTCCCACAATGTTCACATAAGGAGCACAAAATTCAAACTAATCGATTCAATAATTTCTCAATGACTTTAATGTTTATTTAAGAATCCTAATCACTGCTTTCCAAGTTTCAATCAAAACAATTCCACGACCATTCCCTACCAAGTGAAAAACTTCCATCAAACAACAGAACTCCCATAATGTTCACATAAGGAGCAGAAACTTCAAACTAGTCAAGCAAAACATCTCCCAAATGATAAATAACATCCCAAAATACGATCATAACCAGGCCGTGCATCGACACCCCGCGTAGAATCTAACGTAACTTAAAAAAAAAAAAAAAACACCAAACAAAAAAACCAAACAGAGTGAGGCCTCCCCCCTCCCCCCTAAAAAAACAACGAAAACAATTGTGTTGCTAAACTCGGGGTCATTGACAAGGACTCTCGATTGTGGGCATCGATCTCCCGCGAGAGATAATCGCTGGCGATACGATTAAGGTGAACGGAAAGAAAAAAAAAGAAACGAAACGGAGGAGAGATAAAAAAAAAAGGAAATCCCGATCCGTGTGCGATCGTTCGGGGAAAAGGGTGAAAGGAAACGCAAAGCTCACCTAGAATCCCGATGAAAGTGGGAAACATAACCCGTCCTGTGGCGGGCAAACCGGGCGAATCACGTCAGGGCGGATAAGGTTGTTGAAAACACGCACGTAGGAGAAATATATCGCGTGTCGCAACCCCGTTCTCAGGTGTGTTATTCGGCCAGGTCGGATCGAAAATCCACCGGGCTGCGGATTCGAGAGCGACGGACACGGAGCCGAACAGAAGTATGAAAAAGAAAAAAAAAAACACTGCTCGCAGCCCACGGCGCGTTCGGCCGATTTTCTTTTTATCTTTTAAAATACCGGGACGCACGTCAGCGGTTTGCTATGACACCCATAGTCCTCGAAACAAAAGAGCGGGTGATCGCGATCCCGCATAGCTCGTCCCGCCGTTTCCAAACGAGACCGAACGGCGAGGCGCATCCGTCCACTGGCAGTTCCCAGCTAGGAACAGCTAGACGCCGATTTTATTTTGGCACAACACTACGGGTCGCCAGCGATGCGCGCGACACACGGAACCATTCTAATCGGGTAACACTCCAGGCTCAAAACAACCACCAGCTTTGTTAACGACGTACCGCACCGTCGTTTCGCACGTCGGCCACATTTAACGCCGGGGTGATTCGACGGCTCCCGTGCGTTTTGTCGTTCCAACGAAACGCACGACCGTCGCGGCCTCCGATCGTTCTTTAACTGCGTTTCCCTGTTTTTCCTATTTTTTTCAAATTCGATTTCACCGTACGCGTGTACGTGTACGTTGTATACGTCGATGCTCCGATAAGGACAGTTTTCTGAGACGCACTACACGGAACGTACGGGTGCGGACTGTGCAGCAGCGGATTGCGACTGCGGGCGTACACCTGTGAACACGCGATACCGAGATACGCATCGCGAACCGCGACGCGTTTCGCGCGAAAATCGCGTCGATTACGTTCAAGATGGTCGCGTTCGAAAATGTAAATTGGAACTTTTGTTAAAGTATAGTTTTGCTGTTTTTACACGCTTTTGTAATTGATTAAGGTCTATTTACACGTATACGTTCGGTGTCAGTAATATTAAATATTCTTCTGTTGTTTTCGAATGGGCACGTTCACGCACATCCGACACCGCTCCGTGTCGTTACTGATACGGTACGGATCGGAACTGACCTTTAACTGGATATCTAACGGCCCCCACTTCTCCCACAGTAGGTACCTTCTCTCCGCAGTGTACTCAAGATCTGTAGCGCCACCGTGTTCCAAAAGGCGGAAAAAATTTAAATTGCTTTAAACTGATTCGATAGGGCAAATTTTTTCACGATAAAATATGTATATTATAATAATTTATGTATATCTATATGTGATGTAATAAAATATACCTGAAAATAGAAGAGGATAACAGACCTTTATAAGAAAATATAAATAGACTGCGGATCTTTATGCATTTATAGGAAATTTGAATGCACAAGAAACTACAAAATGCAAACAATATGCAAGAATATAAAAAAGATTCAAAGTAATGTTCATGTTATTATGCAGAATAAAATGATGCATGTAATATTTGCAGAATAAAATAAATTCCAATTAGTTTCAATTTTGTAGGCATAAAATGTTTACACGCGCCAGAAATGTAGCAATGTAAAATTTCATTCAGCCAGACTATAGAATCTGGTGACAAAACCATGTGACTTGAAACAGGATTTCATTGGTCCGGAGATGGGCGAAACCCTAGGCTTCGAATAAATTTGAAATTTGCCGATATGTTTGTCTCGTTTCTTCTTTTGAACATTTTCCAAAGAAGGAAACGAGACAAACATATCGGTAAACTTCAGATTTATTCGAAGCCTAGGATTTTGCCCATCTCTGGTCCACTATGATTTTGAATAATTGTTACCAGATCCATCGCACCACTAAGCGAAGTATAATAATAAATATATAACCGTACAAATAGTTACGATATGCAACGCACAGGTGACTACTTTATACGTAAATGGAATTTTTAATGTATCGATCTCGCATTGTGTAAAATAATAAACATATTAAAATTGATATATTTTTTCAACAGTTGGTAGATTTTTCCCGCGTTCAAACCGCGTGCGTGACGCGGCCACATCGTATCAACAGTGTGAACGTAATATCGATAATAGTTACCTGACGTCGAAAAAAGTCAGTATTTATAGCATTAATTATTAAAGATAGTACGCAACAAAGAAACATTGAGAAAGGACTTATCGTTATATACTGCGATTAACTATAAACAGAGTAAGCTATGACTTCGTTTAATTTAAGTGGGCTCGGAGATCAGTTAAAAGAAGTTGCGCAGCATTCTTCTTCTGGTACCGGTGTATCCTTTGCGAACAAATCACTGAAACTCGATTCCGAAGAAGACGGTAAATTATTTCAACCAAAATTAGTTTTTACTCCGATGTATATCCGATTATGAAAAATTCGACGGTTATTCGAATGTTGTATCGAAATATAAAACCGAACATTGAAGTAATCTTTCTCGTTTAAACAGCGTTGGAAGTGGTTAAAGCGATAAGAGAATGTACCAATTTGGAGTACTTGGATTTGGAAGGAAATACTTTAGGGCCACTTGCTGCCAAGGTTGTGGCAGAAGCATTGGAAGAACATGGTTCTGCATTGAAACGTGCCCTGTGGAAAGATATGTTCACCGGTCGTTTAAAAACTGAAATACCAAAATCAATAGAGTATCTTGGAAATGCTTTATGCTCTGCTGGCACTCGGCTTGTCGAACTCGACTTAAGCGACAACGCTTTTGGCCCAATTGGCGTGGAAGGATTGGCCAATTTCTTAACCTCCAGTTCTTGTTACACTCTTCGTGTATTAAGATTGAATAACAATGGACTTGGAATATCCGGTGGTCAGATATTGGCAAAAGCATTATCAAATTGTTACGATTATAGTTTCAAAGCAGGTAACATTGTTTGTTTGTAATTCTGTTACATTTTGAAATTACCTTATAAACTCGTACGAATTCTTTTTTCTGTAGGTACACCTTTAGCTTTAAGGGTGTTTGTTGCGGGAAGAAATAGACTGGAAAACGAGGGTGCGATAGCATTGGCATCTGTTTTCCAGAAATTAACTAGTTTAGAAGAAGTTGTTATGCCCCAAAATGGTATATATTATCAAGGCATAACAGCACTTGCTAATGGATTGTCTGCCAACCCTGGATTGAAAATTTTAAATCTTAATGATAATACAATCGGGCCTAAAGGAGCTCAAGCTCTCGCCAATGCGTTACCAAATTTCCGAGATTTAGAACAACTGAATCTTGGGGATTGTCTTCTTAAAACGGGAGGTGGCATGATTTTGGCAGAAGCGTTAGGGATAGAAGGTAATCATCCTTCGCTAGTGGAACTTAATTTGAGTTACAATGAAATCCACACGAAAGCCGCCAATTGCATAGCTACCGCGATGGCTGATAAAATGCACCTAGAACAGTTACTATTAGATGGAAACTTTTTCGGGAGCGAAGGTCGTGCCATTTTGCAGAAAATACTCACAGATTCCGACAGGATTGATTCGTTGGGTACGTTAAGCGATGACTTCGGAGATGAGGAGGATGAGGAAGATGAAGAAGACGCAGAAGATGAGGTGGAAGACAAGGTGGAGGATACTGAAGGTGAAATTAACGAAAATGAAGATGAAATCGAAGATAATGACAATGAAAACCCCGGCAGTATTATGCTGTCAAAAGTAACAGTTGAACAGTTCTTAAAATCACCCACAGACGAAAAGTTATTATTACTACAAGGCGATGTTGTACAAGATTTTGTAGATCATGCTAAAGTAAGTAAATATAATACTGAAATTTTGTAGTATCGTTCTATTGCATTTGTAACTCTTTTGTGTTTTAGAATTTATCAGAAGATGCTGGCACATCTTCGGAAGTGAAATTCGTAGAAGAATTGACAAAAATAATTATGAAAGTGTCAGAAAAATGTGACAGTGGTTACATAGATGTAAGAATAAGAGCTCAAAACCTTACAGATGGTTTATATTTGAATTTATGTACTTTTGTAACGGAAAATGATCAGACTTCAGTTTGGAATAATGCTCTTTTAGTCAATTTAGGTTTAATAAAAGTAAGTATTTTTAATTAACTAGTGTACATTATGTTCAAATGTACAATAATCGGAAAATACTAATATACCGTATTGTTTCAGAGTGAAGATAAACGCAATAGAAACATTACTTGGAATTTGGTAGGCTGTTTTAAAGCGTTAGAAAAAGTTGTTCAAGAAGATTATTTCTTAACAGAAACACGGAACACGTTAAAAATCTTCTTAGAAAAACCAGCAAAAAATAACAGAACAAAAGTTATAGATTCGTGTCAGGATTCGAAAAATTCTCTTAAGGCTGTTTTAAATCGGATACAAAGTGCATAATAAATATTAAAATGCGTGTGTGTATAATTGATTTACAGAACGTCGCATAAGATACATCTATTTATTTTTAGACATTTTACGTGAAATTGTTTGTAGTTTTATACAACCTTAGAAAGAATAGAAGAGATTATGCAGCATGCTATGTATACAGACTATTAATTGTTAAACGTTTAGTGCTAATTTTGTACTTCATAACAATTTCCATAAAACTTTTTTAAAGCTAAAAGATTTAAATTAATTACAAATGTTCGAAAAATAAAATTGTTTTATTCGCGTATCGGTGAATACCTTGTCCATTGTATCGCATTTTCTAAATTTTTTAATTCTCATACGTGAACGAATGTAACACAACGTACAACGTAATCCTCTTTATTATCGAAAATGTAAATTTCCTAACCACATGTACCAAGATTCCACTAGACTAGAGCATTAATAATGAATATAAAAATCACATTTAAATTTCGTACTTTATCAATTCGACACATGAAAAAAAAACAAACAAACTTGTGTAGAATAAATAACGCTTACCCATACAACATTAAATGCAATGAAAATTATTATGACTCTCGAAAGTTCCTTCTACTGCGTAAATAAGAACTTTGAACAAAGCTCCTAGTAAATTAATTAAATGTAATATCACGAAGTTTTCTTTCATTGTTTAATGGACACCGTGGACGCCGGATTCCAACCTGGATTAAATAAATCCGTTGCTAGTGGTGCACAGTGCGTAGATGGTTGATCTTTCATATACATTGTCACCTAAAATTACAAAAATGTGTGAATGAACAAATATTGGTATAAATAAAATTTCTCTCCAATACATGTATGGACGTACGAGAAACAGAATAAGCTGTTGTTTCATTTTAGAATCACAGTTTTGTCCGAGAGTTGAAGGATAATATATAGTACCGCCATTTTTTTCTATGTCCTTTGCAATTAATTCTAAGCATCGCTGTTCGTCGACATTTACTGTTTCGATTATCGATTCTGAAAATATATTGTTGGATGTTAATATTGGAAAGCTAATTTAAATTACAGACTTGTTATTATTCTCTTACTTTTAGTAGAAACATCAGCAGACAAAAGTCTTGTTAAAAATGCGCCGCATTCTGGAGATTCCAAGAAAAGATGTGGATAACGTCTCAACAAAAGTTTGTTGAGCAACATGTTACCGCGATTTCCAGCTAAAGTGTTACTAGGTACACACACTACTTCGTCCTCTGTTCTTCGTATAAGTAATATAGGGCCATTATACCTGCAAAAACAGATAAATACGAATGATCAAACTTGTCATTGTCATGTGTAAGATTCGAATGAAATATTATATTGTACCTATTTAACTGTTCTGCGATATTTAAATTGAAATAATCTCTGATAATATTCCGCACCAAACCTTCTAACGACGAGGACATCACCGTGGTAGCTAATGGAAGTATGTCGTCGAACGTAGCATCTAATACCTGGAGAATTATTTTAATTAAAATTGAATCGAAAAATATGTACAATATTTCTGATTAAACAAAGAAAATCTTACTAGACTTTGAATAGAAGGATAGTTCATAGCAGCCCAAGTAGCGGTATATCCACCGATGCTCCAACCATAAAGGATTATTTGCTCCTCAGAGAACTTTAAGCGATCGATTGCAAAACGCATTACACAATCGATAGCATTCTCTTCTTGGAGAGGATACGGTAGACCCTTTGTAGTCATGTTCATGTCTTACTGTTATCATTTTATAATCATAGTTTGACCGAAGAAGAAGCCTTGCCATTACTTCAAATATATTTAACATAGATACATGACTGATATTAACTGCAACATTGCCAAAATTTCATTTTTGCAATATCGACTGTATAAGAGTAACAGCAATTCTTCTCATCGGAATGTTACCATAAATATTCTGTAAATATTTAATTTACAAATGTAATACTTACAGTGCTGCTACCGAAACCTGGATGATTCCAACCTAATACGGAATATTCCTTATACAAAGGAGTCGATATAATTCCAGTTTCGTAAAAGCCTAAGTTTCCTTCGCATGTAATAACTAGCGTATTCCCATTTGTTGTTCTACGAAAACAAGAAGATAACATAAGAATAATTTGTTTGAAATCGATGCCGCGGAAAAATGTTATTTAATGTTTACATTACTTGTTACGTCGATCAACCAACATAGTATCAATTTCATTGTTATCTGCAGTTAACAATTTGTATCTTTCTCCACCTTCCTCTATTAATTCTATTCTTCCTTTCAAATGCGAAGAGCCTGTAATAATAATGCTTTACATAAAAAAGTAATAATATAATAAAATGTAAGTTAGGATGAATTATGTAACTTACGAAATGCCCAGTTGATAATTGATATACTCCCAGGATATATCATTTTAATAGCAAATGTGTGAGCTACAACGTATGATATTAATTTACAAGGTAATGTGAATATAAATTCTTTACTAGTTTGCCTTTTGACACGACCGCTAGAAGTTGCAATCATTTCTAATGTTAATTTATCACGAGGTCGATCTCTGTAAATAGAAAATAAATTTAGGAAAGGAATGAAAGCTGAATTATAAAAGAGATTTGATAATATTATCGACATACTTTTCTACATCGTTAATTTTAAAATCTACAGGCCATGCCCAGAATTCGAACTCATATTTGTGAAGTTCTTCCTTTGTCTCCGCGCTATAATGTGCGTTTGCTTCGTTCAATGTCTTCAGGAATTTTAAATAGATCGGATTATTAGCTCTAGAGCAACCGCGTGCAGCCAGTGATGCAATTAAAATTACACCAGCACCAGCAGCTAATTTACTCAAGAGATAAATGTTATCCGTCAAACTACCCCTCTGTTGATAGAAAAAGGTAGCAACTAACGGTATTGTATATAAGCTTATCGACCAAATTGCTGCAAACTGAAAATAAATAAGTTTACTAGTATAAACGTTTGTCATTGTTATTTCCATTCCTTTCATTGTTATTAGATGCCAATTTAAAACAAATTAAATTCGTGATACGCTACAATTAACATTGTCAATTTCTAACGACACAATTTATGCTTTTAACAATTAATTGTTGAAATTTTTCAACTATTTCGAAATACTCACGCAAATTACGATTTGATCACCCCATCGTTCTAAAGTTCTAGGCTCGTACGATTTCTGAAATAAATATAGACATATATACAGACATAACCTAAAACGCGTCGCTCTCGACGAGTTTTTGTGTAATTGTTCATACGTACTTTTACCAATCGACCGTTCCATGTTATTTCGTAAACTTTAAAAAGACGAGGACTAAACGTACATTTCCATAGTGTACTAATCAACGACATTTCGCATTTGTTTCAAATACTTCCAAACAAATCTACACCCTCAAGCTACCAATGTAAAATACGATGCAAGAGCGGTTTTCGCAACTTCATGCACATGACATAAGAAAACAAGTTATCACGAGTGACGATGCATCCGTTAAATATTAAATGTAGAATAGGAAAAAAAGCGTGTAAAAATAGTTAAATTACTCCATAACGATTTCTTTAGTTTCTTTCTCAATCTTACGCAAATGCGTGAGAAAATATTATGGAAGTTATAACAGAATAGCGAAGAATTCTCGAGTATCTTGAAACTTTGAAAACAAACGTAGTTTCGAGTGGCTAGATATTTCAAACGTTTTGAACTTCGTTCGGCCTTTAAACCGTTTCGTCAGAGCGACGTGTAAACTTTATGCAAATGCAGAATATTATGGACAAATATGGAACATAAGTGTTGCGACACGAGCGCTTTGAAAACGCATCACCGCTCATATCTACATATGTAGTGTAAAATAAAGTCTCTGATAGGCATTTGTTTGTCTGTTTGCTCTGAACAATGTATCTCTAAACAATGTGCGAAAGAACTATTGAGAATAACAAGTTTTACAAAAAACGTCCGTGAAAGCATTTACTGTTTACCGAAAGTTTTTACCGACATGGTGGTAATGTATCAACGGGTGTCGGTAAAAAGATATTAATCGCGCCATCTAGCTGTACGAATAGGAACCAATCGACAACAAACTTCGGTGTTTTCCCGATAGAGGAAAACTCCAAAAGTAGTTCGGTATATTCACCGTTAGATGCCTATTCATTTGATAAAAAATAGCGGGAACTCGCAAGAGAAATTGTGATAGTTTAAAAGTTACAAAAAGAAGGCTAGCTATTACTAATGATTAATTCATGCATCAGTAATAATAAGCAACATTTTTCGCACGAAGAGTAATATTACAATAATTAATATCACTCTTTGTATAATAATATAATAATAACACAATCCTTCTCTCAACCTTCGAAACCTAACGATGCACTTAATTTCCACCGTCGCAGATCGTAATCAAATTTCAGGAATTTTTATCTTTGAAACTAAGCGTCGTACGAATAAACCGTAAATATAAAAAAAGTTTGGTTTTATCGTTCTCTATAAGGTGATATTTTTTGAAAAATTCTACTATTAACGCGCCTCTTAGAATCTCCATCGAAAATTGTCTCGCGGTCAAACCCCGTAACTCGAACACGCCTCAACGTGAAATTCTGTACATGTCCAAACATCTTTTCAACTTCGAGGATAGATTACATTTCCGTCAAACTTTGCTTTGCTGTTTTCTCTAACGGATTGAAATCGATATCACGCGAAACAGAGGCTAGCTTCAATCGCGTTTACAGAAATTTAAACGTCCCGGTCATTCGATTCACACTCGCTTAGTAAGTACAGAAACTCTATCGTAACCGCGTATAACGCGTTGTTTTCGCGTAATAAAAATAACCGTCGCGGAAAAAACTAATTCGTAGCGTAATCGAAGAAAACGTGTCCGTGGTTGACCATACAAAATCAAAGAGTACGTTAGAATGACACAATCGCAGAGCCCGTGTGAAATTGGACAATTTCGTAACGGGTCGATCGTAGGACCCGTGCATTAGATCGTGCTTTTTGGAACGTAAAGAACTTGCTGGAAGATTGGAAGCAAGTGCGCTACAATAACGCACAGTAGTTACATATTGCGTGCAACATCGATAATACGATTGAAGAATCGTGTCGATACATCGTACACTTTTCAGAATGTCAGATTGGGATACCGCTCCTATCACTTTGCGTAAACGTCCCCCGAAGGCTTCCGTGCTTAAATCGGAACAGGTAACGTTGCTCTGCAGACATTTCGAGGCATTTTACATGAAGTAATCGTTGCATGCATGGGTTGTGTAATTGTGTTTATTTACAGGCAGTGAATGCTGCACGTCGTCAAGGTTTTGCTGTCGAAACACAAGCGAAATGTAAGTTGAATTTCGTCGTACGACACGGTATTCTTGTTTTTTTTTTTTACAAATTTTTAAAAATACACAACCTACAAAAATGATATCTGTTCCGCAGAGGTCTCGTTTGTGTACTAAACGTTACAGAGTAATGACGATCGGTGCGATCTTGCGTGATATCGAGATTGTAAATAATATGATGCGATACGTAGTAACATAAAGTTAAGAAAACTGTCGAACGTTTCGTAATAATTGTAAAACAAAAGTGTTATTCTATATTAGGGGGCGGTGGAGCGAATAGACAACACGTAACAACTAAAAATACCGCCAAGTTAGACAGAGAGACCGAAGAGCTGAAACATGACAAAGTCCCACTCGACCTTGGTAAATTAATTCAACAAGGACGACAAAATAAAGGATTGTCTCAGAAAGATCTTGCAACGGTACAACATTGATTCAATCGTGTAACATAAATGTTCAACCGTTTACGTTTTGTACATGATTTTTGTTCTTTGTTTTGTAGAAAGTAAACGAGAAGGCACAGGTGATCAATGACTACGAGGCGGGCCGCGGAATTCCAAATCAAATGGTGATTGGGAAAATCGAGCGAGTGTTGGGAATAAAATTGCGTGGAAAGGACCGTGGTAAACAGTTAACAGCCCCCGGGACGAAAAAGTGAATCTCGGGGGAAAAAATCTCAACTTTTTATCCTCACATATTGTTCCCTAATCAGAACTGCAAGAAAAATGGTAGAATTGACAGCAATACTACTCCTGCCCTGTTCATCTTTGGTTATTTTATTATATACTTTAAATAAAATATTATTTTATTAAATATATTATTGTGTATTATAAAATAGATTATTATAATATGCCTTCAAGTATGAAATGCAAGGAGTATGTTTGTATCTAACATAAAAAGAAAAAAAACTATCAATGTGAAAACTGCAAACAAAAATCAAGTATCTTTGTGTATGATTTCGTTACAAATTTAAATGTGCTGGATTCTATTACATATTTATTTCTCGGTTTTTCGAAGTTTGATTAACGTAGGTTAAACGATATAGTATTAATGCAAGTAGAGGTATAAGATTGTCGATATGTGTATGTACATGAATCAGCGATTCGACAGCAGTAGTTTAATGTTTTCATTGTTAAACAAATAGAATTTTTATACACGCATCCACACATGAACATCATACGTCGAAATATTTGCATAGCGATTAAAGTATTAATTTATAATGTAACGATATTTCAACATACATCACAGTAGTTGTATATAAAAATAAGAAATTACTAAATAAATATTAATTATACGATTTAGAGTTAACTTTATTCGTACAGAAATCTGGTGATACATCATTTTAATCCAATATGAAAATTTAATCTCTCCTCAATGCGAAACTTAAATCTTGTATACCATCTTTCGTTACAACTTTAATGCTTATAGAGTCACCTGTATAAATATCTCTTTCTGCTGCTGAAATGAAAACATCTTTTATTACAGCAATAGCTTTTTCTTGGGTCAAAGGAGCGTGGTCGACGCCTTCTTGATTTTTGTAACCAATCTGAAAGATGTACACAATAAACAACCTGTTGCAGTTAGATAAATATATTTTGTGTCTATACTTTCGCAGTACCTGGTTATCAAGAAGAGGTTGCAAAAGTGCACCAGCAGAGCCACCTGCTCTATATTTTGTCAGTTCGCAATGGCCAATTGGATCATAACTGTATACACATCCTTTACCTTCATCATTTATTCCACCGACAATATTACTAACATAATAGGGAAAGAAACGTTTATAGTATAACATTGTTGACAACATTTGTGCTACTGCTGGTGTTGTCATTTCTTTCTGATGTTCATGTTGATACATCTGACGAATGAAAAAATATTAATAAATAACTATGATTACCATACAATAGAAAGACATCCCACGACACAATAGAGTAAACTTTAAAAGTCCTTTACCTGCATTCGAGCTGATAGGAGTCGAGTTAAAGTGAGTGTATCACACCAACATCCGGAACACCCTAAGATAGTTGTGTTCGATAAGGTGAATAATTTCTGTTGTTCACGGGTATAAATGGAGTATCCCGTGCTGAGACGCGTGTCTGCTGCAATCACACAGAAGTCGTCTCCAGCGAGGGCTATAACGCTTCTACAATCACAATAAAAAAAAATCAGATTTATTAAGGTTAGGATATTCCAAATATTAAAGAAACAACATTTGTCCAATTAAAAGTGAGAAATTGTGCCATTGGAAATCAGAAAAAACTACGCTTTTCTATATACCGATACGTATCGTTAGAAATATTGAGGTTATGTTTGAAATTTACCCTCCGTTATCAGCGTACGGGCTGAAACTTTTCATTTTCGCAGCTTCTGTTTCATAGTCTGGCAACGATCTGCGTGGATTTTCACTTAAAAGAGCCATTTCTCTCCAAGTATTCTCGAAAACTCAAGAAATTTTAATCACTTTCAATGAATGACACTACACTTTGCGTCGAGGATGGCGATGCAAAATAACATTTCCTACACACGAACGCATCCTACTATGGACGTCGTTGATTGGCCGGTTTCTACTCGTCTCCATCAGAATAGGTTAATGATTATAGGTTCGCATTTGAATGTGTACAATGATAACAAATCAGGCGAGCGACTCGAAATGTTGCTGTCAACTAGTGATAAAATAATAATTTACAAGCGAAGATGAGCAAAATCCTACCTAGATGCGAAATTTCGAATAACGTAAAAAAGTAAACAAGTTCGGATTTCTATCGTGATTGTATATCGCTCGAAAGGCGTGTATGTTAATTTATGAGCCGACGGCCGAATGTGTGATTATCAAGCGAACTGGAAAAAATATATTACCTTATCAGATACGATAACGCACCGACGAGTTGGCAATATTCGGTAGAATTCGAAAAGGTGAAGAGAAAATAATTTTCTTTTCCAATTTGTCGAGATGGCAACCGATGATGGGAGACGCGTCGCACTAATTACGGGCATTACCGGACAAGTAAGTTTGACAGCTCATTCATACTTCATACATATCAAGTATCGAGTTAAAGATTAATAAAGTTAATCGAGATATTTTCAGAAGTATAAAAATAGACTATCAAATTTGTTTCTTCTATTGCATTCACAATTTTCGCTACCTATTATTAATACAACAATTCTTTTAGGATGGTTCCTATTTAGCAGAATTCCTGTTGGAGAAGGGGTATGATGTTCATGGTATAATTAGGAGAGCTAGTTCCTTTAATACTGCTCGCATTCAACATCTTTATGCGGATCCAAAATGTCATCGTCAGGGCAAAATGAAACTGCACTATGGCGATATGACAGATTCCAGTAGTTTAGTTAAAGTAATTAGCACTGTGCAACCAACAGAAATTTATAATCTTGCTGCTCAAAGTCACGTTATGGTATGTATCATTCTTTGCTTGTGTTCCTCCTATGTTTACATTCTTTTAAGATATACTATCACTATGTTACTTTTTTTCCAGGTAAGTTTCGAAGTAAGCGAATACACTGCTGAAGTAGATGCAGTAGGGACAGTTAGATTACTAGATGCAATACGTACTTGTGGTCTAGAAAAATCTGTAAAATTTTATCATGCATCGACATCTGAACTTTATGGCAGAGTGGTAGAAGTACCTCAAAATGAAAAGACTCCGTTCTATCCTCGTTCACCATACGGTGATTAATTAATCAAGTATTATTTTATATTTAACTTTGTATATTCCGGTTTAATACAACTGACTTTTAAAATTTCAGCTTGCGCAAAATTGTACAGCTTTTGGATAGTGGTAAACTATAGAGAAGCGTATAACATGTTCGCGTGTAACGGTATACTATTTAATCACGAAAGTCCGCGCAGAGGAGAGAATTTTGTCACAAGGAAAGTGACTAGATCGATAGCAAAAATACAATTAGGTTTACAAGACGTTTTTGAACTAGGAAATTTAGATGCTAAACGGGATTGGGGACATGCAAAAGATTATGTTGAAGTAAGAAGCATATATGGAAGCATGATACTCGTATCGAAAGCTTTGACAAAAAAATTTACTAATCTTTGGGTTTTATAGGCAATGTGGTTAATGTTGCAACAACCAACTCCTGATGACTTTGTGATAGCGACAGGCGAAACGCATAGTGTTAGAGAATTCGTAGACGCGGCTTTTGAGTATGTAGGTCGTACAATTAAATGGAAAGGTGAGGGTGTGAATGAGATAGGACAAGATGCACAAACCGGACAAGTATTAGTCAGAGTGAATCCTAAGTACTTCCGTCCAACGGAAGTTGTACGTATTAATTTTGTATAACAGCAGCTGCATTGCTACATAATAAGTATTTTGTATTTACTTCTTTTACTTATGTAGGATGTACTTTTGGGTGATGCTACTAAAGCAAAGGAAAAAATAGGTTGGAAACCAACGATTGCATTCAAGGTAACCTATCATTATCGTATCTTACGCGTTTATATGATTATTTGTTGGTCAAGTTTGTAACTAGCGTTATTATTCTAGGATCTGGTAAAAGACATGGTGGACTCCGATTTAGAATTAATGAGAAAAAATCCAGTCGCCTAAAGTTGTTAATTATTCATGAAGAGCTATGTCATTTATGAAGAACCTTGATGTATTTGCTGAACACATTCTATGTCTCTATGAGACAATGATACTTAATTAAGATACACTTATTGTATTAAAAGAATTTTAATATTATTTTGTAAAACTACATATTCTTAGGTTAGATGTGAACAAGCTTTGAAGTAAGAGATTTAATACTATTAGGTGCTAAGATAAAATAGCCTCGTTCAGCATCTGATCCGAGATATGTGTATACATAAAACTTAACAATAATATATGTAACACATGTTGATAGTAAATATTACATTTAATCTATTCCTTTTATAGGTGCTGATTTACACATATATATATGTATACATTAATGGATTATATAAAAATTAATATTTTCAAGATTTTTAATCGAAAAAGGGAGTGATTAAATTGCTTTCATTTAAGAGAAATTGATCAAACTTCGACTTTTTTTAGATTTTTGACGAGTGACACAATTTTACTAGAATAGTGCTTATATACAAAATGTCTTCCGTCTACTCGTTCATTAATTTTTACTTTTGTACATACTGTATTATACTTTAGGATAATCGTTAAGTAGTGTCTCGATCTTTATACACGATGTCCATTGTATAAACAGAAATAAAAACATTTTTGTACAAACAAAGCGAACACAAATTATAGATTTTTACTTTAATTATCATCAAATAGAAATAGCTATGTAGCTGGCTCGTCCGTAGACTTCCGTAAGATATTCTCGATCGTGAACATCATCGATTTTACGCAGTGTCCTTGAGATTCTGCGTATTTCACTTTCGTCTTCCGTGCTTCTTCGACATCTCTCATCTCGATTATTTTACATTCCTCGTTTTTCTCTTCGCGCTTTGTCGAGTTTGAGAAGACTTCCGGCGAGACCTAGAATCACGATTCTTCGTTAGCAACGATAATTGCTGATTAACTTCGTCGTGGAAAAGTAGCTTCTTATGCGATCAAATTACTTTACGATATCGTCCCTTTCTGGTCACTATTGTTAACCAGAAATTTAGAATTAATTTTCAAGTGCCTATTAGTTTCTACTAAAAACCACAGTGGAATATGTGTTGCTAACCACACACTGGAGGATAATCAAGACATCCTGTTGACACTTCTTTTCCATAATATCATTTTTACAAATTTTAAATTAATATTATGGGAAGGAAGTGTCGAGAGGATGTCTTGATTATCCTCCATACTAAAAGATATTGCCTTTT